GAGACGACATACTTTGAATAGTAACTCTTTCTCTGTCTATCAATGTCTGTAGTGGGATCAGGGCCTACTGTTTCACACCACTTAACCTACCGTCACCCCTTAATCTCTTTCACTCTTCTTCACCCCCACTATTTTTCTATCTCTACTTTTCCGCTACTATTCTATCAATCAGCGAAGACTTCTTTTTCCTCCACTACTTCGCTAGACAAAAATGAGGCTACTATTCAACACCAGCTGTCTCTCTCAACGTTGAAGACATTTTCTTAACATGGCAAAGGTAGGGAACGCGCAGTCTATATATTATACGTCTATGATCTTCACCACCTGCTTTTCACCAGTTTCAGGGGCACGGAGCCATAAGTGCAAAGAAGAAGAACTGCTTTTCACCAATCAACGTTCGGTGTCAAAGCGCCGGTGTCTGCATGAAGATCCAGCCTTATGTAAATCACATATTGCACTGCAAATTGTAATAAAATCGAAAATTCCAGCCAATCAGGGCAAAGTTCACTAACTTGAAAATGCGATTAGTCACTCACATAAAAACTTGCTTCAGTTTTTATGTGTTCTTCATGTGCGATACATGACCTAAAAGTGACGCTTGTGTGGTTCGCACCTGCTTTTGTTCAACAAATGTACAAATTGGCGCATGGTGGCTTTTCACAGTTAGAGACAATTCGGCGGGAATTATCACGAAGAAAAGAAGAATCTGTTCAGATCTATAACCTATCATCATGTATACGCTAACAGAAGGAGCATTAGACGTACGTATTGTGACAGACTGTAATATAATTTATAAAAGATATAACTACGTCTTTATCGAAGGTGTGTTGTTATTGCGACTTATGGTATTATTGATCTGACAATGTAATTCTTTCAGAATATAATGAACGGCATAAATGTAGAAAACCCAATACTGCAGGTATTGGTAAGTATCGTACATGTATAAATATTTTGTGTAACTATATCAAACTTTCGAAAATAGTTATGTGGATAATTTGACTTTACTGATTCAACAAACTTAAGGTTAGAAAGATTTTCACTTTCTAGTTTTGCAGAGAACTTTCTCGTTTTCTAATAAAATGTGCCAATTTGTAATTTTTCAGGGTTATAAAAAGCTACCAAGTACGAGCACAAAACCAAATGATCGATATCGATTGCTCGTCTCTGACGGGAAACATATGAATTCCTTCACAATGTTAGGAACAAATTTGAATGAATATATATATGAAAATATTCTAACCGAATATTCCATTTGTCAANTAACAAAATATGTATTGAGCACAGTCACAAATGGTGGAAAAGAGAAGTACTTAATTCAGTTCATATGCAAAACCATGTGAAAAATGTCTTTTCAAAACTTATATATTTTTTTCTTTCATAGGCAAGTATTGCTGATCTTAGATATAAAAATGGTAGCCTCTGGTAGCAAAGTCGGAGAGAAGATAGGCAATCCAACTACCATGGAAACAGCCATGAAGAATTCAAATCATCAAGCCTCTTCTGACATAGCTACTACACCTATCGCAGCATTAAGTCCCTATCAAAACAGGTTAGAATTTAAACAGTTACACATGAGATATGTATATTTAGAAGAACTGAACATATTAAGAGTAAACAAATATTTAGATGGGTGATCAGAGCTCGC